TTTTTTTTTTTTTTTTGTCCAAGTTGTGAGCTGATGGTGGTGTTGCTTCTCTGCATGTTATCAGTGTGTTACATCCAGGTGCTTTTCATGTGACATTTGTGAGCCACAAATACAAGGTTGCCATTTGAATTCAGTCAGGCCCCAGGGTGGTGTCAGCCAGGGCCTCTCAGGTGGGGGTTAGAAGCTGATGACCGCTCCCACTGCCACACGCAAGCAGACAGCATCACCTGACTATCACGTGCCCTCCGGCAGCATGCTAAGGGACAACTCTGTGGCCTGGGGGGCACTCTTGTCACAGTGTAGGGTTTCTGTTCAGGTGTTCTGTTCCCATCTCTTCTCCAATGTTGTCCCCCCGCCTCCCGTTTTGTACTGATCTGGCTGGGAGGTGCTCTGCTCAGCCGATGCTGGAAGTGTGACGAAGCACCTCTCTTTTGTGATTCTCTTGTACAGCTCAATGTGCAATAAAGGAAAAGTTATATCTGTCTTCAGTGTTAAGTTGTAAAGTTTCTGGCTATTCGATTACCTCTGTACAGGCGGGCAAGCACTCAGGTTTGTGATACAAGAGGCTGAGCTATCAACCCCAAAGAGATGCTGATGCAGTAACAATGCTAATGAAGGCATCGTCTTGGCGTCAGACTTCAGGGGACAGAAGCTGGTTACCGTGAAATAATTGGCTGATCATGTAGTTACCCGATGTGGCTTTGAACTCCTTAAACGTGCAGAATCCCACATATCTTACATATGTATTTTTATGTGTAACAGGCCCTGCTATTAAGTGGTGACTGATGATAAAGGGGAGCCCATGTCACCTAAGAGAAATGAGCTAGTAATCCTGGGTGCACAGTAGCCTAGGCACACTCTGCCTCTGCAGAGGACATAGGAGTGTTCTGGTTTCTAGAAACCAACAGGACCAGTCTTAGCTATGGCAGGCCCATGAGTGTAGACTCTGGGATTGAGGTGAGAAACTGAGTTTTCCAGGACAATTAGGAATCACTTTTACTCGTCAATGTGTGCCCATGGGGTCATCTTTTGACTTCAAAGATGTGCAGACCCCTTCCAGAAAGTATGAACCACACTTTCTGTCCTTCACCCCCTAGACAAAGGAGGGCTTTTTTTCTCAACAGGCCATCTAACTGATGGTTCTGTGTCTCATGCTGGGTAAAAGGTATGCTGTTATTAAGGGGGCTGTTTGCCAGACGGTGCCCACAACATCCCTGGGGGAACCTGGGGTTTGAATGTCTGGAGAATTTCCCCACACACCTGAGCAGTTTGTCATGATGGGGCCCTTGAGGATAGCACTCAGGTAAAGAGTGCCTGGGAAGAAAGGATTGATCCTGGTCGTGGGAGTTAATGCACCAGTGAAGCCCAGGTGGGATGGGTGTGGTAATCAGACACCTGCAGGCTTGGAGCAGGATGAAGGCAGCTCCATGGAGACAATGTCAGTCACTGAGGATCTTAAGGCACAGAATCCTTTCTGAACAACTTTCTCATCCGTTATCCTCTTTGAAACAACTGCTATCTTTAAAAGATAATTGTAGGACCTTTAGAGGGTTTATGGTCGGGGAAACTGAGGCACAGAGAAGCTTGTCATCTTTCTGGGGGAAGTGTCAATGGTAGAGTATTTTCTCAAGTGTTCTGACTCCTGCTCTCTCCTGCATCTTCTGTGTAGATTTTGGGGTTTCTTAGGAATCCTTAGAGCAAGGTGGCTTCTTCTTGAGGACTTCTAGGAAGTAGAGCCGAGGCCCTCTGTAAGGGAGCTTCACTCTGTGGGGCTTCCCAGTCCTCTGCCTTCTTCCCTGCCCTTCTGACTTCTGCTGTGACTAAGATGCCGAGTCTCTGAGGAGGAGCAAACAGTGATGATGTCTTGTCTAAGGACTCCCTTCCCAGCCCTCAGAGCTTTGGGTAGTTACCTAAAATATCACTTATCCTATTAGCCATGATCTAACCACACCGTTTGAGATAGAGATTCTACTAAGGAAACCCTTTGATACGGTTAAATTATGAAGTTTTTCTTGTACTGAACCTAGGGGGCCCTGGGCAACCCCAAGGAATGCAGCCCTCAGGCAAGGTGCTGCCTCCACGTCGGCTCCCTTCGGGACCATCACTGCCACCTTCTTCCTCTTCCTCCTCCTCCTCTTCTTCCTCTTCCTCGGCTCCTCAGAGGCCGGGCGGCCCCACCACCACCCACGGAGATGCATCCTCCAGCAGCAACTCCCTGGCAGAGGCCCAGCTACCCCAGGCTGCTCCACCACAGAAGCCCCAGCCTCACCCACAGCTCAAGTAAGCTAACCCAGCAGTTCCTTCCCCCCTTTCCTGTCCCTCCTCATGGGCTGTGGGCCTCTGACCTGCTACAGAACCACCTTCAGGTTGCCACAGATAGTTGATGACTTTGGGAGGGGTTGGTGGTGGTGACGGTTGTGGGTGTTTTGTTTGTTTGGTTTTTGCTGTGTGTGTGTGAGAAGAACGGCTAGATTGACTTAGGAAGGGAGAAAAGAGGGAAATTAAATCTTGCCTCAGGTTAGGCTGGATGCTCACACCCACCGCTTTCTTCAGGAGGAATTACAACAGTCCATCTCTGTCTAGCCTCATGCTAACTTGAGACTCCCACTCCTTTTTTCCATATGCGTGTCTCCTAAACTTAAAAACAAACAAACAAAAAACCCAAAGTCTTTCCTACTTCTGACTCAAGGGTGTGCAATCAGCAAGGCTGCCCAAAGGGAAAGGGAGAAATGCTTAACTCTATCTCAGCTTTTACCTTTCTGGAGGAAGTGTAGGTAGCAAAGCTGGTAGCTGGTAGTTCAAAAGAGATCCATCCTCCTTGGTACCCTCATTCTCAGCGGTCAGCCCAGAGGCCCCTCCACACTGTGCTGCTGCACAGAGACTTGTGGAGCCCTTAGAAAGAAGTAGTTCTGTCTGTCCTTGGGAGGGTGGTCCCAGTGCAGCCCGCTCTGCCCACTCCCCAGAGCCATGCATGCCAGCTTTAATATTGCTATGCAGACTCTGTTACCACTCCTAGCAGGCACAGCGGCAGCTCCAGGGACATTGGAGTGACCTACTCTGCTTGTAGGTCAAAAGAAGTGGTTCTCACCTGTGGGATATGACCCTTTGCGGGGTCAAATGTCCCTTCCACGGGTGTCACCTAAGATATTTACATTATAATTCATAACAGTAGCAAAATTACGGTTATGAAGTAGCAATGAAAATAATGTTATGGTTGGGGGTCACCGCAACATGAGGGACTGTATTAAAGGGTCGCAGCATTAGGAAAATTGAGAACCACTGCTTAAAAGTGATGGACAATAGTGAATCTTCAGAGAGCAAGAGAGAGGCTGTGTGTGGACTTTCAGAGTCCAGGCAAGCACCTGTGAATTGTGCACACAAAAGTAAACTTTGCTCAGAGCTACCCATCTAAATCAGTGGCAAAGCTGGGGCTTGAGTGTCCGGATGGTCACTTCTCCAGGTCACACACAATAGAAGAGGCATGGCTACTGTTGTTCTCCTGCTCAAGCCAATAGTACTTCTTATATCCAACTTGCTGTCACCTCCCCAGTTCAGCAGTTTGTCCTTGCTGAGTGGGATCATCACAGCTGCCCTGGCCCCAGTATAAAAGCAAGCTTAGGGGTTGTCATTACCTCTGGGTGAAGCTGACGAGCAGAGCCAGCCTCTGGTGATGAGCTGGAGGCTTGTACCCGGTGCCCTCTGTTTGTGCATGCAGAATTCTCCTTCCCAGCATGCTACGGCTCGTCACCAGCCCTAATGAAAGGCAGGACACCTGTCCACAGTCCCTGTGGGAGGAGAGAATAACACACAGGTGGGACTTTCCTGGATGCACCCAGCATTTAGGAGAGGGATGGAGGTCCCAGAAGAGTACTAGAGCCAGAAAGACCCAGTGGGAGTCAAGAGACAAGCCAGGTCGCCGGGGAAGCCAAACCTCACGTTTCCTCCTGCATTGTGGCGTGGCTTCCTCCCAGCCTCCAGCCTTCACCGTTTTTTCTTTCTGAATCATTTACTATGCAAGGATAAGTTCTTAAAATGTGTGTGTGCATCTGTGTGTGTGTGGAGGGGTGGTTGGTTTTTTTTCTTCATTATAATATTGCTTAATAATCATGGCCCAATAAAGTCTCTTTTACTCCTATATACCCCGAATCCCACAAACCTCATATCAAGGTTCATCTGAGGAAGGCTACAGGGGTGACTGTGACCACAATGAGAACAGGGACGTGAGGCTAGAGATGTAGCACAGTCAGCAGAATGCTTGCCTAGCATGCACAGAGCCCTGAGTTTGATCCCTAGCTCTGCATAAAACACAGTGTGGTGGTACATTCCTATCACCAAGCACTTAGGAGATAGAAGTCCAAGAGGATATTCAGCTACCCAGGGAGTTCAAGGTCAGCCTGAGATACATGAGATCCTATCTTTAAAAATAATAATAAATGCAAGACCATGAAAATAGAGGCATTAGACTCTGTGGATCAAGCTGAAGGTTCCTTTGAAATAAGAGAGAAATAGGAGGAACCAAGAGGACCCAGAGGTCATCATCCTACCAAAATCTTCATGCCACACATGAAAATCCCAGGGCCAGAGTGACACATGGCTTGCCCGAAGCCACTCTGTGGCAGAATCAAGTCTCTGAAGTTGAGTCCATCTTGGCAGTTGATGAAAAAGAGGCCAGGAGCCCACAAGTGCTGCTATCTGCTTTCATTAAAGGAAGAGGGTGTGCGGTGCCTAGATCCGTACTTAGAAATCAGGGACTTTTAGCCTCAAATGAAAGACACAGCCTTTGAGTCACCCGTTCTTCCTGTTTCCCCTCTCGTTCTCACCCTTCTCTCTGGTCCCCACACTGCTCCCATCCCTTCCTGTTTCAGCAGCACTGAAGTGAGGAGGAAGTAGCCAAGGGCTTCCTAGTGCCTAGCACAGCCCTCCCAGCCATCTCCTGCTACCCTGTTCTCCCTGGGGAGGGCGTGGGGAGTTCTTGTTGTGCACCCTCCTGTCACAGCCCTTCACTGCCTCACGAGGAACACCCTCCTCATGTTCTCTCTGGTTTTTATCTTCAAGCAAGTCGCAGTCCCTGACAAATGCGTTCAGCTTCTCTGAGTCCTCCTTCTTCCGGTCTTCAGCCAATGAGGATGAAGCCAAAGCGGAGACCATCCGGAGCTTGAGGAAGTCCTTTGCCAGCCTCTTTTCAGATTAGCTCTCCAGATACACGAGGGCGCCCGGCCCGACCAGGAAAGGCATCTAAGACATTCACCAACAACAGTCTGCCATGTTTGGTGGCCATGTCCCATGACTTGACATGTGTGGCCCTTCCTCTGCTCCTTTGTGCTCAGTAATTTGTGCAGCCCAGAAATGACCAGGTGACAGTCTCAGGGCAGGTGCCTACCCTGAGAGGGACCGACAGGAGAGGAAAGGGCTGTTTCCCTGTAGTCGTAAGAGCTTTATTCTGAAGTCATTGCCATTGTGAATTTAGTGGCCTTATTGTGACAGAGCCATCGTGTCTTATTCTCCCCTGTGAAGCCAGGACCTCTGGAATGGAGGACTCCTGGCAGCTTAACCCAGCTCAGACGCAAAACTCAGCATGTCCTTGTAGTCAGTGCTACCTGTGGGAAGAATGTACTTACCTAGAAGTAATATCGGCTCTGAGTTTTAGGAACTCCCCACCAAAAGCTGGGTGTCCTGCGGCACCCGTGGAAAGCACACTCACCTGACCCTGCCCTCCCTACACTGTTGTGGTGGTGAAGTTCCTTGTGCCCGTTGAAACAAGAGAATAAGGACTGCAGTGTCTCCTCTCCCCTTCTGGAGAGCAGTCCTGGTGTGTGAGCTGCAGTAACCTTGACCTCCCAAAGCTGTGCTGTAGAAGAGAATGCATGCCGCTATAACAGCAGTCCGCCAACCTTTGTGTCCCTCACCTAATGAATGTCAAGACCTTGGTGTAATAAAAGCAGCAGCATTAACTGGCATTTGATTCAGCCCTGAGGTTCCCTGTCTAGGTTGAGCACATACATGGGGCATGCAGGTGTGTTTGTGAGTAGGCAGTGAAAAGTCCAGGAGGGTAGAGCTACTGTTGTTGTTGTTGTTGTTGTGTGTGTGTGCGTGCGTGCGTGCGTGCGTGCGTGCGTGCGTGCGTGCGTGTGTGTGTGTGTGTGTGTGTGTGTGTGCATGTGACAGCAGGTGTCTGTGTCTGTGTTGAGAATGTGTGCCTGTACCTTAATTCACATACCAACGCTCCTGACAGCTCCCCGGTGGATCTGTCTCCCCTAGAACCACCGACTTTCCATCAACAGCTTGGCATTTCTGCCCATTTGACTCAGTTCACAGACTCTAATATGCATAACACCCCTGCTTGCATGTCAGCCAAGTTAGACCCACTCTCCTATCTTTCATCATTATCCTCAGCTAACGTACACAAGGTAGGGCCAACAAGACAGAAGCAACCAGCTCTGATGAATGTGGTCCCACAGCTGTGGCTCAGGAGCCCTGAAGGTCTGCTGCTGGGGTGGGGTAGGCTCTGAGGGATTTTACTCCGACTTCACCGTGATTCTCTGAGGATGTTTCCAAAGACTGCTAATGCTCTGAAGATCAATTCCATATTAACACATGTTTAAGAAAAATCAGTATGTTAACACTTTAGCTACATAATTCCCTGCATGTGATACGATTTAACAAGTTAACGCTCCTTAAAATGCCACTGTCTGACCCCTGCTCACAAGCAGGGATTCCAGGAGGTCAGAGAATGAATTTCGGTGGCACCAGGTCTCCTTTCTGAGTCACATTTATACCATGTTTTAGGGTCTAAGGACTGAGGCAGGTAAGACAAGAAGTAAAATCCCACCTCACCCATTGAATGGCACCTGATGGGTGACATCCTTCCATTCTTCCTTGCACAGTACAGACAGCCAGACAAAAGACAAGGGGAGTTGGAATCCCCTCTCCCTCTCCCTCTCCCTCTCCCTCTCCCTCTCCCCCTCTTTCTATGCTGGGGATGGAACCCAGGGTCTCAGGACCTCACTCATGCTAGGTAAGTGCTGTACCTCTGCCTGCATCCTAGGTCAGCACATGCATTCTGTTTTTATTCCTGTTTGTGTGTCTTCATAAGAAAATTGAAGATCCGAAGAAGATGTTAGATCCAAAACTTAGATGTATACCAAAGTAAACGGTAACTTGAGGATGTCACAATGCAAAGGGGTCTGGTCTAAAGCCAATGAACTATGGGAAGGGAATTAAGATATATCTGGGGAAACAGTGGAGGAGAAGGGTCACAGATCTTAGGTTTTGTTTGAAGAAATAACAGCATATCAAAATTCCCTAACTTGTTGAAGGTTGGCCAGTTGGTCAAGTGGTGAAACTAAGATTTTAAACCCCAACAATAGGGGTTCTGAACATGGTTCCTCGGGTACAGCACCTGCTACACAAGTATGAAGACCACAGTTTGGATCCTCAGAATTCGTGGAAAAAACCCGGGTGGGTGTGGTAGCCTGCCTATCATCCTAGTGTGTGGGAGGCAGAGACAGGGAATCCCGGAGCAAACTGGCTACCCTGACTAGCTGAAACAGTTCTAGATTCAGACAGAGACCCTGTCTCAATATGCAAGGTGGAGAACAAAGAAAGAAGACATCCAGGGTAACAACCTCAGGCCTCCACGTGTGCTCACATGTATGCGTGTGTGCCAGCATACATGTGCTCACAGCAGATGCATATGCACACTACAAAGAGAAAGCCAAGCAATAGCACAGTAGGGCATATGGCCTAAATCACTTTGCTATATCTTATTTAATCTTTCAGGGTCAATAGGAAAGAATTTTTATCTATTTTTCACAGTGTAACCACATAATACAGTACATACAAACCTGGACAAGAGGGAAAGGGGGTGAGAGGTCGGTGGACTGGTTTCCAGTGTTGACCCATTGGCCTAAAACCATGAGTAACATGCACTGTGTGTCTTATTCTGATCAAATATAATTCTGGCTCTTAAAAAATTACTCATTCTTCCACATGTGATGTCAAAACCAAAACCACAAGTAGCTTATTTAGAAAATGAGTCACCCTGGAGGGACTGTTGGGGCAACAGAATGGGGGAAGGAGCATTTACCATAGTCATGCAGTGCCCTAGTCCAAGGGGTACAGGGATTCTACCCAGCCCCACTAATAGATCTGGACCAGGGGTGGGGTGTCCCACTGAGAAACAGACCTCTTGGTATTTAAAGAAGATGGTCCCAGAGACTTGGAAAGCAGTACCCCACAATAGTCAAACATCCAATGAAGAGTGTGAATAAAATGATCAAAAGTTGGGTCAAATGGTTGATCCTAATCTGCTGTAGATTCATAAGCTTTTGGTCTGTAGGCCAACTGTGGCTGCCATGCAGATTAGATTACCTCTCTGTGGCTTATTAGAATTCCCTCTGACATCCTCAATTCAGATGAATAAACAGAAAACTTCATCCCTGCCCTTGCGGGGCTCCCCATCTCCCAGATCAAGGTGAATAAATTCTGTTCATTATGTATTTGTTGGTAATTCTTTATTGTGTACTTACTAAGTTCAACAAAATTCATGAGTACAGTATAAAACTGAGTTACCCAAGGTTTCTGCATTCACAAAATCCACAATTATCAGGGAAGATGATGTGACTAGAAATATTCTGTCCTAAGGAATGCAATCATGGTGTCAGCTTGGAAAATAATAAAGTTGATAGTATCAATGAGAATGTGGGAAACTCTACACTTACACATTGCTCATGTGAGCATGTATGGGCCCTACCGCTGTGAGGGATCATTTCCATCATCCAGTGCCCAGCTATGCCTTAGGAATCTTCATTTCTGAACACTTCTGGAAACTTCCTGTACACAAGGAAGCAAACAGAAGAATATTGGTTGCAACATGGAAAAATAAAGAAACAACCAAACATGGAAAACAAATAACTGTCCTTCAGGGAGGAATTAAATCATATACTGTGACTCATTCATAAATAAGAAGACTTTATGAGTTAAAATATGTGAGGAATTCAGATGAGTTCTGATAAGATATGGAAAGAGAATGAGTAAGGTGAATTACGCTAATGTAAGATTGACAACAAGCTGTACGTGTCTCAGAGGAGCTATGTCTAGCTCCAGGTCAGAAAAGCCTACGCAGTAGGTAGGGGAGAGCTGGGAAGAGTCCACAAGATTGGGAGGCCTGTCTGCTGGGGGAGAAGTGGATGCAAAGAATTCACTGAGTTTTACAGTTGAAAGCAGCGACTAGTCTTACCGCCTCTTTACAGATGAGAACATTGAGGCCCAGTCACTGAGGACATTTACCACAGTCCCGAAGGGAGTTAGTGACATAGAGAAGTAAATGAGCCCTAATCCTGTCTCCATGGTCATTCAGAGCATGTCCTTCTTGAGACAAGTGGAATGGGTTTCGTTTCCAAGGAGAGGTGTCTCAAGGCAGGTCACAGGCGGGTGGAAGTGGGAAGACAGTGTTAGCCCGTGGCAAGAGCCTGAGTCAAATCTAGTTTGTATCCAGGCTCTGCTAATTATTGGCTAATTGATTTGACCTTACAAGTGATTAGCTTTTCTGTCTCAAGTTTCCCTTTTCTTGGTGAGTTGAAGGATTCAATGAGCTAAATAAATGTCTTCTTCTAACAATGACTGTTTCTGAGACCATCACAATAAATCCCACCTCTGTCTATTTAAAAAAAAACACCCTTGTCAGCACCCAGACCCCTTTCATATGACTCCTCCCAAGGTAGCCAAGTGCCTTTCTCCAGCTCCCAGATTAGTGGGCCGGCCGCAGGGCAATTTAAGCCCAGCTGAAATGACCTGAGGCTGTAGCCCTCGAAGGAGAATTAGAGTTGAGGGTGGACACCTGGAGAAGCAGCTGCAGCTGCCAGGCTTCCCGCTGGCAATGGTATATTGTGAGTGCACAGACGCAGGCACAGACACACACACGCACGCACACGCATGCACACAAACACCCCAGCAACCTTTGCAAGTATAGGAATGAATATCCCATTAGATACTCATGGACTAGTACATTAAATTTTATTATTTTTAAAGAGAGGGTCTCACTATGTAGCCTTGGTTGGCCTAGAACTCACTACATAGACCAGGTTAGTCTTAACTCACAGAGACTGATATAGCTTTGCCTCTCAAAGCTTTTTTTTTTAAAAGATTTATTTTTTATTTTTATTATTTTTAAATGTGTATGTATGTATGTGTGTGTGTGTGGGGGGGGCACATTGTATGTGAATGCTGGTGCCCAAAGAAGCCAGAGACCTGAGATTGCCCTGGAGCTGGAGTTACAGGTAGTTGTGAATCAAACTCCTAGCTGAGCTGGGAACTGTACTCAGGTTCTCTGCAAGAGCAATGCAGGTGCTTTGCATCCAAGCCATCTCTCCATCTCACCGTGGACCCATTCTTAGGCACGCCTCCTACACCGTCACTCCCACCATGGTTTGGATTCCTCCAAAGCAATCCCTCTGGGAGACTATGTATTCTAGCAAGAGTGCTGCCTAGGCGCAGAAAATAATTGCCTTCAGATCTGTTGTAAGTACATTATTTGAATTTCTGTGACTTTCAGAAGATCAGGAATTTTCAACCTAGGAATCCAGAGATTTCCTTCATAAACTGCTCTGTGCATTCTGTGTGTATTTTAGCAGAGTTTTGACATACAGAAAATAGGAATTGTCAATAAGAATTGTTTTAGGGAGTAAATTGGGATTTGAAGGAAACAGTCTCTCTGGGAATCAAATCAAAGGGTTTGGTCTACATTAGAATGTGAGGTTCAAAGTATGATGTGATCATAAATGTGTGAGAATTTTTTTTAAGACAGGGTCACATAATTGAATGCTCTGTTTCCCCTTGTACGTCTCCATGGACTTCAAGCCTGTCGACTGTAAATATGTAGAAAAAGAATGCAATTAGCCATTCCCTCTGGTTGATCCTCTTGTTCAACCCATCAGCTTGAGAATTTGCTATTCCCATC